AGGCTGTGGGTAAACCTTGATGAGTCCACAGAGAGAGCACTTAAATAAACTCCAACATTTAAATCTACACAATGTTTTTAAGAATTCTGGAGCCCTTTGACTGCATAGTATATTTTGTTAGAAAAGTCATTGTGGGATGCCTGGTCCTCTGCTGCATGACTTGGTTCCTTCTGCTGGACTTTACATCTCAACTGTGCCCTGTAGTGTGTAAGGGCTAGGGGCGGACTGACCATTTGGAAACTCAGGCACTGCCCAAGGGCCCGGGGACAGTAGGGGGCCCCATGAGATGCCCCTGGTACCTTTTTCATAGGCTTTTTTGAGTTTGGGCAAGGACACAGGGGCCCCATGATCCCCTATTGCCCAGGGGCCCCATGAGTTGTCAGTCCGCCCCTGGTAAGGGCTTAAGGATCAGACCAGTGAGTGCCGTGAGGGACCAAGAATACCACACTTCCAGAATTGTCAGTTTCTGAAGAGTCTAAATCTGAGGGCTTGTTCACACCATGGTGCAGAGACATCAGTTTTTCTGCACGTGTTCTGAAAGGGCACAATGAAATCAGTTGTCCTTTAGGTGTCCTGTTCACACCACAACACTAGTATCGCTTGTAGATTTTTTCTGCACAGGAATTTGCAAAATGTATAAAACTCATTGAAGCGCACATGAAAACTGATGTAAACTGATGTCTCTGCAAGTGAAATCTGTGCTTCAGTTTCCATCGGTTCTTCTGCACGTATGGTGTGAACGAGGCATTTTTTGCAGTAAAAGCAAGGAAGCATAACAACCTCTGTAGTGTATTAATATTACTAAACACAAATGCTGTAGTCACATAATATAAGTACAATTTTAGGAAAACAATACATGACATACAGAGTATTGCAAACTATTCATACAGTATACATATGCACATGTTATCTATCATTCCTAGAAAAAGAGCATGGACAATGTGTGTGATTATACTAAATAGCTACCTAACTTGTTTTTTCTGGGTGATGGAGTCTTCTTCCAGACTGCTCCTTGTTTCTCAAAGTCCTCCAGAACTACTAGTACTTCCTTTGTTCAGCAAATGGCTGTGTTCAAGTCTTTTGTCCCCTCCCCGTACTTCTTGCCAACATAATTTTCTGTAACAGGTGCCCATGAACCAGTCCAACGAGTTCTCTTTTCTCTTTTTTAGACTATTCTCTGTAAACCCTGAGATGGTTGTGCATGACATTCCCAGTAGATCAGCAGTTTTTGAAATACTTTGTCTGGCACCAAACAACCATGCCACGTTCAAAGTCACTCAAATCCCCTGTCTTCCCCATTCTGATGCTCGGTTTGAACTTCAGCAAGTCGTCTTCGCCATGTCTAGATGCCTAAGAGCATTGAGTTGCTGTTATGTGAACAGGTGTACCTAATAAAGTGGCCAGTGAGTGTATATTTATACTATAAAAAATCGTTAAAATAGCCATAGCAACACAGCAATGCAGTGGCCATCAGAAAAACGGGGAGGTAAGTATTAATTATCTTTCTTGCAGGAGTCACATCATTTATCATTTTTTTTTTGGTGGCTAAATCACTTTAAGTCCATAACATGGCAACCTTTGTTGTACATAACTGATGGCTACTTTTTATTAGCACTGGACAGATGAAAGCCTTCTACTAATCATTTTTATGGTTCCATGTACTTTTGCACTTTTGCCCGAGTCAATGTCAAGTCATGATGTCTGGGTCCTTCTGCATTTCGATCCGTATTTAGGCATCGGTTTTGATGAAGTTATCCTGTGGCCATCATATCGCCTCTATGTTTCATTCTGAGGTTGATTATTGTGAAACAGGAAAAGCTGTTTTTATTTTCTTCTTCTTCAAAGACCTATCACCTGCCTGAAGGTGGTTCGTTTTCTCTTTATTGAGGTTTAATTCTAAACAGATGTTACTAATGGATCTATGCTTCCAAATACATGTCACTGGGTAATATATAGGTACAGCTATATGTTCAGGAAACGTAATTCAAATGGACTATTTATTGTAAGCCAAATATTTTGCTACTAACGGGAGGTTTGATCGAGGAGAATCCGGGTAAATTTAATCAAATGCAAAGTGAAATTTTTATCTTTCTGCAATTGAATATGATACATGTAGGTTAGATCATTTCGCCTAGACCCTTAAAGCAACCCTGTCACTACAGAAAAAAGTAGAACAAAGGTACCCTGTAAACGAAACAGAATAAAAACTAAGGAGACCAACATTTCATATTCCTGATATGTGCCTGCTGTACCATGTTCTTATATGAAAAAGTATCCTGTTCTCTTTGTGTTGCTGTTTGTGTAAAATCCCTGGTGTTCTTGCCAGTCCTTCTGCTTTCCTATTATTATTATTATTATTATACAGTGTTTATATAGCGCCAAAAAGTTTGCTCAGCGCTGTACAATATAGTGGGGGACAGAACATGAGACAATACAGTAACAAAACACTATATAACAACTGACCACACTATGCAGGAGAACAGAGCGTGGTCAGTTCTCTAGCTGTGCTGAGAACTCTGCCTGCTCTCCTCCAATGATCAAACTTTCCTGACAGCACCTCTGCACAACCATTCACTGGGAAGATCAGTGTTATAAAAAGGAGAAAAGTATATCCCCCCTCCCCTGTACTCCATTACAGTGATATGACATGTATACAGTAATGTATATCCCAGCTCCCCTGTACTCCATTTATAGTGATATGACACCAGCTCCCCCTGTACTCCATTATAGTGATATGACATGTATACAGTATGTATATCCCCCTCCCCTGTACTCCATTATAGTGATATGACGTGTATACAGTAATGTATATCCCCCAGCTCCCCTGTACTCCATTATAGTGATATGACATGTATACAGTAATGTATATCCCCTCCCCTGTACTCCATTATAGTGATATGACGTGTATACAGTAATGTATATCCCCCTCCCCTGTACTCCATTATAGTGATATGACGTGTATACAGTAATGTATATATCCCCGCTCCCCTGTACCCCATTATAGTGATATGACATGTATACAGTAATGTATATCCCTCTCCCCTGTACTCCATTATAGTGATATGACATGTATACAGCAATGTATATCCCCCCTCCCCTGTACTCCATTATAGTGATATGACATGTATACAGCAATGTATATCCCCCCTCCCCTGTACTCCATTATAGTGATATGACATGTATACAGTAATGTATATCCCCCCTCCCCTGTACTCCATTATAGTGATATGACATGTATACAGTAATGTATATCCCCCCTCCCCTGTACTCCATTATAGTGATATGACGTGTATACAGTAATGTATATCCCCCTCCCCTGTACTCCATTATAGTGATATGACATGTATACAGTAATGTATATCCCCCCTCCCCTGTACTCCATTATAGTGATATGACGTGTATACAGTAATGTATATCCCCCTCCCCTGTACTCCATTATTGTAATATGACATGTATACAGTAATGTATATCCCCCTCCCCTGTACTCCATTATAGTGATATGACGTGTATACAGTAATGTATATCCCCCTCCCCTGTACTCCATTATAGTGATATGACATGTATACAGCAATGTATATCCCCCCTCCCCCCCTGTACTCCATTATAGTGATATGACGTGTATACAGTAATGTATATCCCCTTCCCCTGTACTCCATTATAGTAATATGACATGTATACAGTAATGTATATCCCCCCTCCCCTGTACTCCATTATAGTGTGATATGACATGTATACGGTAATGTATATCCCAGCTCCCCTGTACTCCATTATAGTGATATGACATGTATACAGTAATGTATATCCCCCCTCCCCTGTACTCCATTATAGTGATATGACGTGTATACAGTAATGTATATCCCCCCTCCCCTGTACTCCATTATAGTGATATGACATGTATACAGCAATGTATATCCCCCCTCCCCTGTACTCCATTATAGTGATATGACATGTATACAGTAATGTATATCCCCCCTCCCCTGTACTCCATTATAGTGATATGACATGTATACAGTAATGTATATCCCCCTCCCCCTGTACTCCATTATAGTGATATGACATGTATACAGTAATGTATATCCCCCCTCCCCTGTACTCCATTATTGTAATATGACATGTATACAGTAATGTATATCCCCCCCCCCCTGTACTCCATTATAGTGATATGACACGTATACAGTAATGTATATCCCCCTCCCCTGTACTCCATTATAGTGATATGACGTGTATACAGTAATGTATATGCCCCCTCCCCTGTACTCCATTATAGTGATATGACGTGTATACAGTAATGTATATCTCCCCTCCCCTGTACTCCATTATAGTGATATGACATGTATACAGTACTTTACTACAGTTGCAAGAAAAAGTATGTGAACCCCTTGGGATTACGTGGAGTTTTGCATGAATTGGGCATAAAATGTGCTCTGAATGTCATCTAAGTCACAACAATAGAAGAACACAGTCTGCTGAACATAATACTACACAAACATTAGATGTTGCCATGGTTTAATTGCACATAACATGTAAACATTCACAGTGAAGGGAGGAAAAAGTATGTGAACCTTTGGACTTAATAACTGGTTCTTGATCGTAGGTCTTCTGAGAGCTCTTTTCTGCGAGGCATGGTTCACATCAGACAGTGCTTCTTGAAACCAGTAAACCCAAAATAGGTGTGTGTTTTGTAAGGGAAGGACAGCTGTCAGCAACACATCCAATATCATCACACAGTGATTGGAGTCAAGGTTGGCTCACTCCTGGCTCCAATTAGCTCTGGGAGAAGTCATTAAGCTAGGGCCTCACATACTTTTTCCTCCCTGCACTGTGAATGTTTACATGTTATGTGCAATTAAACCATGGCAACATCTAATGTTTGTGTAGTATTATGTTCAGCAGACTGTGTTCTTCTATTGTTGTGACTTAGATGACGTTCAGAGCACATTTTATGTCCAATTCATGCAAAACTCCACGTAATCCCAAGGGGTTCACATACTTTTTCTTGCAACTGTAGTGAATGCAGGGTCCTAGGTTTAGTAGCACTTTAAATGAAGGGAATTTCAGTCTTAAACAATCATCACCAGAACATTTGTTCCCACTGGATGGGGGATTCTCCTGGTCTTGTAGCAACTCAAAAATGTTGAATTTCCCCTGACTTTCTGTCTCAGTGACAGTGATTAGCAGGACAACTTGAAGGGGGGAATCCCCCAGGAAGCAATAAAAACTTAAAGGAGGGCTAATCCTTCATCACTTTATCTAAAACTTTCCTTTGCACTAACTGCATTCAATTTAAAACATATTCAATCATGCCATTTTTTTTTCCTAAACTTGCAGTGCAATATGAATAAGTACTAAAAATATAAAAATAGCACATTGCCAGTAGGCATTGTGTGCTGCCAAGTTCCTGATATAAACCAGATTCTTGATATAAACCAGTACGTGCAGCAGCCATTGTTTCAGCTGCCCAGTTTGTACCGCAGTATATACACTCTTCGGTGAACCTTGCAGGGCCATTGGGTTGGGTGCTTGGAGTAGTGTCTGCCAGACTTCCATTATTTATCATAGGCCAGCTTGACACAGACCCCACCACCGCCTTCCTCCCATAATATCTGGTCTGTTCCAGGAGACGGCAGCAAGGGTACTGTAAGCCTTGAACACTATGCCAGCCCATACAGGCTAGGCAGTTGGAAGAATGATTGTCAGTTAAAAATATTTACTTTCATTTTTTGTGTCCATTCACACACACATGAGATGCATTAAAGTGTTACTAAACCCACAACAGTAAAATCAGTCTGTATATGCAGTGAAGCATGCTTGGTATACTCACTGTGGAACCTAAGGGGTTTTTCCTCTGCATTGTGTAAAAATGCTGCTTGATCCTGTCTTCTCTGATCCTCCCCTTCTTCTACTTTCCCCAATCCATTTCCTGATAGAACAGAGCCTTGGGGGCAAGCTGCACATGCTCAGTTTGGTTTGTATTGCTGTAGAGTTTTCTGTCTATGCATGAGAGCTTGTGTGGAAAAATTCTAAATGACTGGCTGTGCAGGACTATAGGGGGGACCCAAATTCATCAGCAACCCCTAAGGGGGTAGTGCTACACTTGCACTCTGTACGTGACACATTCCTGAATCCTGCACTCTGTATGAAACGCACTGCTGAACCCTGAACTCTGTATGAAACACATTCCTGAATTCTGCACTCTGCATGAAACGCACTGCTGAACCCTGAACTCTGTATGAAACACACTCCTGAACCCTGCACTCTGTACGTGATGCATTCCTGAATCCTGCACTTTGTATGAAACGCACTGCTGAACCCTGAACTCTGTATGAAACACATTCCTGAATCCTGCACTCTGTACGTGATGCATTCCTGAACCCTGCATTCCTGAATCCTGCACTCTGTATGAAACGCACTGCTGAACCCTGAACTCTGTATGAAACACACTCCTGAATCCTGCACTCTGTATGAAACGCACTGCTGAACCCTGAACTCTGTATGAAACACACTCCTGAAACACACGTGATGCTCCTGAACCCTGCACTCTGTACGTGATGCATTCCTGAATCCTGCACTCTGTATAAAACGCACTGCTGAACCCTGCACTCTGTATGAAACACACTCCTGAACCCTGCACTCTGTACGTGATGCATTCCTGAGTCCTGCACCCTCTCTGTATAAAACGCACTGCTGAACCCTGCACTCTGTATGAAACGCACTGCATGAAATGAAACACACTCCTGAACCCTGCACTCTGTACGTGATGCATTCCTGAATCCTGCACTCTGTATGTGATGCATTCCTGAATCCTTCCACACTTTGTGTAAAGCACTCTTCCACAGTTTTTGCAAAACTATTTGTAATGGAAGCTTTTTTTCTCTTTTTTTTTTAAATGATTGTGCTGGGGTTTGTGTCCGTGAGACTCTTGCTTGTGGCACAGCAATCAAAGCACATTTTATAGGTACAAGGAAGCCTGGGTTTTATTTAACCAAGCCCCTTAGACTCCTTCCACTGTTAAGCATTTTGCTACACCCATTTTTGCCACGACACGCTACGCCTGCCACAGGTCACTTTCTCCCTCAAGTGTCCCTCATTCTGAAGTTCAAAAGTTGGGAGGTATGCAACATGCATTGTCGCAAAGCACAGTGACCATGTTGGTGCAATGTGATCCATTCTTTCTTTGAAAGCACCATTTTTTGGCAGTGCTCTGCAGCACCACACGTGTTAGGCTGCTTTCACACTGCTCCATTGAAAAAAGAAATCGTATGCGTTTTTTGGACTCCTGACTCTGCATCTATATAACTTGGACATGTGAATCAAACAATACACCAAAAATGCACTGTGGGTGTGTTTTTGATGCATTTTTTATGTATTTGTGGTGTTTTTACTATAGAAGTCAGCAGGAGATGCGTTTTTGGTGCGCAAATCAAATATGCCGCATGCAGGACTTTTAAAATCAAGAGTTCCATATGATTTAAGCACTTCCTGCCTGTATGACTTCATATGAAGGTCTTGGGTTGAAGTTGGGTATATCAGGATGAAACCTGCACAGCCAATCGATCATTTCTGCGGCTTGAGCAATGCTGTCCCCTTTCCCACTGACGCCGCATTTCCCGGGTTGTCCCGTCCAATCGCAGAGCCCGTGAGCAATGGCGCCACTACACAGAGATAGAGGAACTGAAGTTCTTTCTCCCTCTCTGTGACCCCAGAAACTGGAAGCAATGAGGAGTTCATCACTACCAGTTTTGGCTCTAAAATTATAATTAAAAACAAATTAAAGCACCCCCCCCCTGTGCTGACGCTCATACGCGAACGCATACACAAGTCCTGCACGCATATGTAAATGGTGATCTCATCATACTTGTAAGGTATCGTTTCAAACATCAAAACAAGAGCAGTAATTTTAGCACCAGACCTCCTCTAAACTTGTAATCTACAAAGGCTTTTAAATTGTTGCCTATGGAGATTTTTAGGAACCGTAGTTTGGTGACATTCCATGGACTTACGAAATTTTAAAATGTGAGATGTTAGGTATCTATTTACTCGATGTAACATCATATTTTATATTTTGACATAAAATAGATATTATATAGTGTTTGTGTGAAATAAAATTCATGTAAATGCCATTAAGAATGAATGACCACATAATGCAATGACACATTTAACATACGTTATATTGCCAGAAGTATTGGGCCAGCCCTCCAAATCATGTGATTCAGGTGTTCCAATCACCTCCATGGCCACAGGTGTATACAATCATCACCTAGGCATGCAGACGGCTTCTACAAACATTGTGAAAGAATGGGTCGCTCTCAGGAGCTCAGTGACTCCAAGCGTGGCCCCGGGTTAGGTTGTCACCTGTGCAATAAGTCCATCCGTGACATTTCCTGGCTACTAAATATTCCACGGTCAACTGTTAGTGGGATATAACAAAGTGGAAGCAACTGGGAACAACAGCAACTCAGCCATGAAGTTGTGATGTGCCACAAAGCTACAATGATACAATATGGTCACTGGGGGAGAGGAGACAGAGGAAACGCTTCCTACTGCCTGCAGCAGACTGATGGCATTATCTTAGCCTAGGTAAAGTCAATGGTTGATTCTTAAAGTGGTTCTACAGGCAGACTATTTTTTTACCTTAAAGTGTTACTAAACCCATAACAGTAAAATCAGTCTGTATATGCAGTAAAGCATGCTTGTTATACTCACTGTGGAGCCTAAGGGGTTAATCCTCTGCATTGTGAAAAAGGCTGTTTGATGCTGTCTTCTCTGATCCTCACCTTCGTCTGTCTGCAGTCCCCAATGGTACAGAGCTCTAGGAGTGACTCTTCACATACTTAGTTTAGTGTGTATTGATAGAGCGTTTTTTTTTTCTTTGAGAGGGTGCTTGTGCCTTTAGAGGACAGTCAGAGCAGAATGAAAGATCTTGCTACAAGATTTAACCAGTGCTCAGCTGGACACTGATAGAAGTCACAAGACTGCTCTAACTGCTGATGAGAAAAGGTATTTAGCAGTTTATATTTACTAAAATAACTGCATTCCCATGCTGTGTGTACTGTGGGAGATTAGATATATATGCAGGGTTTTGGGTTTAGTAACACTTTATAGCTGAATTCCTGGAACCTAAGGGGTTAACCCTCTGCATTCTGTAAGAAGGCTGTTAGATCCTGTTTTCTCTGCCCCTCCTCTTGTTCAAATGTCCACCTGATAAGACAGAACCCGTAGCCACATGCACATGCTCAGTTTAGTGTGTATTGCTAGAGAGGTTTTTTTTTTCTTGGGAGAGTGCATGTGATCAGCACAGGGCCAATCAGCACTGTCCAGACAGGTCAAGGGTTTTGCATCCTCCTAGACTAGAAAGAAAACTCCTCCTACAAGCTGTAACCAGTGCTGTGCTGGACACTGATAGAAGTCACAAGACTGCTGTAACTGCTGAGGAGAGAAGGCATTTATCAGTTTATATTCACTAAAATAATTAAATTTTCATGTCGTGTGTACTGTGTGAGACCAGATATAGTGAATGCAGGGTCCGGGGAGACCAGATATAGTGAATGCAGGGTCTGGGGAGACCAGATATAGTGAATGCGGAGTCCAGGGAGACCAGATATAGTGAATGCAGGGTCCGGGGAGACCAGATATAGTGAATGCAGGGTCCTGGGAGACCAGATATAGTGAATGCAGGGTCCGGGGAGACCGGATATAGTGAATGCAGGGTCCGGGGAGACCAGATATAGTGAATGCGGGGTCCTGGAGACCAGATATAGTGAATACGGGGTCCGGGGAGACCAGATATAGTGAATGCGGGGTCCGGGGAGACCAGATATAGTGAATGCGGGGTCCGGGGAGACCAGATATAGTGAATGCGGGGTCCAGGGGGGCCAGATATAGTGAATGCAGGGTCCTGTGAGACCAGATATAGTGAATGCGGGGTCCGGGGAGACCAGATATAGTGAATGCGGGGTGCGGGGAGACCAGATATAGTGAATGCAGGGTTCTGGGCTTAGAAACACTTTAATGCATTCTATGCAAAAAACCTTCTATGTGTAGCCCCGCTGACACCCCCCCCTTCCTTATACTTACCTAAACCCAATGTCAATCCAGCACTGTCCATGAGAGCAGCATTGCTGCTTTTCTATCTCTCCTCAGAGGCTTAGAAGTAGCAGCAGGAGCCACTGGTCCTGTCAATCACAGCCGGAGAGGAGGGGACAGGGCCGAGCCAAACTATCTGTCACTATGAGCAAGTCTCAGGAGCAAGCTTGGATAAGTGCCCCCATAGCAAGCGGCTTGCTTTGGGGGCACTCAGCAGGGGAGGGGGCAGGAGTGCCGGGCGGGGGGACCTGAGAAGAGGAGGATTGGAGCTGTTCTGTGCAAAACCATTACACAGAGCAGGTACGTGTGGCATTTGTTATTTTTTTCCGTTTACAATCCCTTACATGGTGAAAGAAAATGCATGTTTGAAAAAATATACTGCGGCTAAATATTTGAACAAGTTTAAAACTACTTAAAATTGTAAGAATCACACCAGGGGGTATTTGGCAAACTATGATGTGGTAAAAGCTCCCATTGGACCTGCATGGATCTAATTAGTTTCTTTTGTTAATTGTAACACCAAGTGCAGGTTGCGTTGCAGAGCCTTCTGCTAGAGTTCTGACGTCAGACAGCTCATGGCTGTCACTGTAGCGGGACCGTGTTATGGTTTGTGCACAGAAACATGCTGGATGAATAAGCATTTGGCGTCAGAAGCTTTTGAAGCTCCAGAAGTATTCATGACATCATATTTCTTGGGACCCGAAGCAGATTCCTGCCACTTTCTAATGCATACTTCACACCCATTGCAGACCTGTTTTAGGCATGTGTGAGTGTAATAATATACTTTATAGAAAAACAACACAAAACAACAGAAATGAGGAGTGCGGCTGGTGGTTAGCCAAACCTGAAACAATAGTTGTATTGCAGATTTGTTTTCCAAACTTTTCCTAAAGTACCTTTAACAGTTTGTATTTTCCAAGTTCTTTACAAACTCGATCATTTTGTGAGCAGCTAACAATTAATTGGCATTTTATGAAACTCTCATACAAAAAGATCTTTTCGTTACCCACTTGCCTACCGGGCACTTATACCCCCTTCCTGCCCAGGCCAATTTTCAGCTTTCAGCGGTGTTGCACTTTGAGTGACAATTGCACGGTCATGCAGCACTTTACCCATATGAAATTTGTGTCTTTTTTTTCACACAAATAGAGCTTTCTTTTGGTGGTATGTACTTGCTGTTGGGTGTTTTATTTTTTGCGATATAAACAAAACAAGAGCAAAAATGTTGAAAAAACATCTTATTTCCTTTGTTTCTTTTATAAAATTTTGCAAACAGGTAATTTTTCTCCTTCAGTGATGTGCGTTGATGAGGCTGCACTGTTAGGCAGCATTGATGGGCACTGATAGGTGGCACTGATGAGCTGGTACTGATAGGCGGCACTGATGAGCTGGTACTGATAGGCGGCACTGATGAGCTGGCACTGATCTGCAACAATGATGGGAATTGATAGGTGGCACTGATAGGCAGCACTGATGGGTGGCACTGACTGGCGCACTGCTGGGCACTGACTGATGGGTGGCACTGCTGGGCACAGGTGGGTGGCACTGCTGGGCACAGGTGAGTGGCACTGCTGGGTACAGGTGAGTGGCACTGATGGGCACTGGTGGGTGGCACTGCTGGGAACTTTTGGGCGGCACTGCTGGGCACAGATGGGCGGCAATGGTGGGTGGCAATGCTGGGCACCAATCATCAGGGCACTGATGATCAGTGCCCTGATGATCAGTGCCCTGATGATCGGTGCTGATCCCTCCTCTGACAATTGCCGGTTATCGGCAGTACTTTCCTCATGCTGTGACACTGAGGAAAGTGCAGCCCATAACCGGCAACTGCATTTACTGGTGATCTGCTGTGTTATTGGACACGGCTGATCATGTGGTAAAAGGCCGTTGTAATTGGCCTTTTACCACATCACGTGATCAGCTGTGTCCGTAGGACACAGCGATCATGGAGATCGCCGGGTCCCCCTCCCTGGGGGCACGCGGGAGGGCGCATTCTGGGAGGACATCATATGACGCCTTCCCAAAACTGGACAGCCGCAGTGTAGCCGTCATTGTGCTTGGCAAGTGGTTAATCTGGACATGATGTATATTTTAAATCCTCCACGAATGCTTAAAGCAGAACCAAAGGCAAAACTTTTTTTTTCATTTTGGATAGAGTAAGGGAGGGTTATAACCCCTGTCAGATTTTTTTTTTTTTTTTGACATCTATATCTTGTTGGGGAGATTTCTTTTCACTTCCTATCACATAGCCATAACTGGAAGTGAGAAGAAATCCTGCCAAAGTGAGGGAATCACCGGTTGTCACCAGAACTAGTGTCCCCATTGGAAGATGTCTGCTCAGGGGCGGACTGACCATTTGGAAACTCAGGCACTGCCCGAGGGCCTGGGGTCAGTAGGGGGCCCCATGAGATGCCCCTGGTACCTTTTTTGAGTTTGGGCAAGGGCACAGGGGCCCCATGATCTCCTATTGCCCAGGGGCCCCATGAGTTGTCAGTCCGCCCCTGTGTCTGCTACTACTGTTGTTGGGACAACACAAAATTTGGGATTTTTTTGTACTTTGTGATGAAGATGGTAAACAGAACAAATAGAGATGCTGAATCTCCCTAATGGTGGCATAGGCAGCAAAAAATTGCTTCCCACCTGCTGCTGGAACAGAGTCCTGATCAGCTATTCACGGGAAGCTGTGACATATACAAGTGTCTGAACAGCTGCACTCCGATATAATATCCGTTGTTACTGAAACTTGTAAAAGCACTCCAATACAGCAATGAGACATCATGGGGACAGGGAAAAAGTTGACGCGTTTTGCTGTGCAGTCATGAGTAAGCTCTGAGGCAGGATGAAACGCGTTGAATTGTTCCCTGTGTCTTCTGTGTCCTTTTGCTTTATTGAAGTGCTTTTATAAATCTCAGTTAAGACAGATGTTTTTTCGGGGTGCAGCTGACAAGACTTTTGTATATCTCATTGTATACAGCTATAACAAGCTGAGCTAGCACCCAGGTGTACAAGGGGTGTGGAGGATTGGAACGACAGGCTTACCTGGAGCACCGCTCAGCACTTATCACAGGGAGCTTTGTATTTTATGAATGAATTGAAAGCTTCCTGTGATTAGCTGAGGTGGAGAGCATGGCATCATCCGCCTGACTCCCAACCTAAGCCAATCAGAGGAATCCTTGTATTCATAAAATACAAAGCTTCCCGTGAATGGCTGAACAGTGCTCAGCCCAGCTCAATTTTGTGTCCTGGCAGCCAACAAGAAGTCCCTGTGCTGCTGCCGAAACATAGCACCATATACTAGATGTATCTGCTACACATAGTTCATATAGCGTTGACAGCAGCCACATGTATTAGTAAAATAAATATTTAATTTGGGTCAGCATAGCCCAAATGCATTGCATGCGCATTTGTAATGCATTTTTGCCATGTCTTCCATTGATTTCAGTGGGGAGGTGCGTTTTTGGTGTTTTTTTTTTTTTTTTACCGCACCAAACCTGCACCAAAAATGCTCCAAGCAGGACTTTGAAAAACACTCCGGACCCACAATGGATCAGTGTGAAGAGATCCACAGGAATACTGCTCACACGTTTTTCTTCCGCTTTTTTAAACTCAAAAGCGGAAGAAAAGTGGATCAGTGTGAAAGCAGACTTAGACGTGATTTCCATTTGGGAATATCTCACCAAAAATTACATTTTTGTTGGAGGGGATGCCAAAAATCTGACTTGTACTTCTGGGAAAATCAGTAATCCAATCTCACAAGCAAGAAATTACATTTTCAGGAATCGTTCTGTACACCATCTATGTGCAGAATGCTTCCAGGTTACCATATTGCATTGCATTTCACAGAAAATCACAGCACTGCAGACTAAAAAAGAAAGATCATTTTCAATTACAATATGACTTGAGTCGCAATTGTATACAATATTGATACAGTTGTGCTCAAAAGTTTGCATGTCCTTTTCCATCTTTATAAAGTTCCATTACCTTGTTACGCAGGACTTTTGACAGTTCTTTTCTGATCCCCATGGCTCAGTATCTAGCCTAGTCAGTGCATCCACGTAAGAGCTAACAAACTCATTGACTATTTATACACTGACATTAATTGCAATTTAAAAAGCCACAGATGTGGGACATTAACCTCTAATTGTCATTTTAACCCGTGTGTGTCACCTTGTGTTTCTGTACCAAGGCCAAACATTCCAGGGGATGGAAACTTTGGATCCAGGCCATTTGGGTGATTTCTGTTATCATTATGTTATCATTAAAAAGGAGCAAAACAACTGTTTGATAATAGATGGATTCATTTTTTAGCATGATATTTTTAATATCAATGCCAAAATGTCACAAATTCTGCCAGAGTATGTACACTTTTGACCACAAATATATATATATTGCTATTTTTTTCCCTTTAAGCTGGCCATACACTGATCAAAATTTCAATTAGTGTGTAGCCGTCTCTGGTCAACAGAAGATGATTGCTCAATCAACTCAAAAAGTTTTGGCTTTAGCTACACTTTAAAATAGAGGAAAAGCCTAACTATAACTATTCATAAAAATGTTTTCTCCACCCCTCCTCCTACCTATCCTGTCAAACCTGTTTAACCACTTCCCGACCGGCCGTTGTATATAAACGGCCGGACGGTGGCAGTGCAGGGTTGGGTGGCCTTTTATAAACGGCCTCCCCGCACCCTGCGATCCGGTGCCCGCTGTGTCCTCCGGACACAGTGAAACACCGATCGTCGGACGGGACCTCGAGGTCCTGATCATGTGATCACTGATTGGCC